TGGACAGGTTATAGATTTTACTTTCTGCAATTGTGTGGGCACTCCACTGGGCAATACTTTGCAATCTCTACATGATAAATTAGGAATATTTTTCTGTTTCTTTTTTAGAAGATGCAAATCTTTTCTTCTCTCTGTTTTTTTCCTTCATATTATTAGCCTGAAGACATTCTTGTTTTGATATACACATGTTGCAGATTTTGTACATAAACAATCCAGACATTTTTTTTTAAATATTATTTTTGTTTGCAAAGTAGTAAAATATAGATTTTTTAGAACAATAATGAATTGCGGTATAAAAAAAAAATGAAGGAAAAAAGGGGAAAAAGTTGTAATCAGATAAGAAGCTACTCTGTATCAGAGCCAGGTTTCGATCCTGGGACCTGTGGGTTATGGGCCCACCACGCTTCCGCTGCGCCACTCTGATTTTATGTTATGACATTTGATTTTACACATAATACCTGTACAATACATTGACTTCCTTTGTGATCCTTCTTTTTATTTTATATAAAACTAAAAATTAAGAGTTGAAGTGGTGATTGTAGAGCTACTAAACGGAATGAGCCGCTCGTGAACTCTACTCGAGTTTGTCTCGGCTCATTTAAAACTTCATTCGTTAACAAACTGGGCTCAGCTCGACTCGATTCACTCGACTTGATAAAACTCAAAAGAGAATTTTTATATAGTTTTATTAGTTCAACTTGTTAAAGTTCAAGATCGACTTATTGAGACTCGAACTCAACTCGTTAATATCGATAAACAAGGAATTTGAGCTCGGTTCAACTTGTGTACAAGATGAGGTGCTTTTGCCTTTGATGGTTGTGATTGGTTAATTAATTATAATAACGAAGATGCCTTTTCTCATAAGTGAATTTTGACTTTCAATATTTTCCACTAAGGACCGAAAAGCAGACGACAATTATTTGTGTGGGTATAGCGCATGTTTATTCCTGGCTGGGTAATAAAAATGGATTTGATATTATTCATCGGTTGACATTTGGTGTCTTATTCGTATAAAAAAAATAATAATAACAATAAACAGGGCATAATATATAGATAATTAGCATTTACCTTCATTTTATGCTTTTATCTTGAGTAGACAAATTTGCAGTATTTGATATTTCACTTGTTCAATTTCTTAGCATATATAGAGTGAAGAATAAGTCTATTAATTATATTTATAAAACGTCAAAATTTGACTTTATTGCCTACTCAAGCTTTTCAAAAAGAAAAAGTAAGTGTTGATATAGAAAAAGATAGTGTTGATAAGATCTATAGGTACCAACCAAAAATTTCTCCATCTTTCAAGTTAGTTTCATCAAGTTTCAATACTTCAATATGTCGTTTTATTTATCGTTTTTTATGGACAATAATACTCTTTTTCCTATGCATGAGACAATGGCATCCATTTAATTTATTTCTTAGTTTATTAAAATATCAAACAGAACAAATTATCCCATTCTATTGCTTAAAAGAAATCTTGTTAATCTAAAATGTTATTTATTATTTTATAAAGCATTTTTTTTTTCATGCTCAACTAAGAAAAAGAAGTTATACATGTTCTTACAATAAATATGAAAAATCTACAACCCATACATCTCAAACCAATAAGAGAATTTGTTGTGCATTACAATTTTTCACTTGTTTTTAATGTTGAGATTTAAGCATTGATCAA